ACACACATCAGAATTAAAATGTCAATTATTAAAGACAAAGAGAGGACCCTCTCCTCTCTCCACCATGGCGTGTGCTCGTCCACTGATATCCATGTACTCTGAAAAGGGGAAAACATCTGGCAAAAATGTCACTTTGCCTGCTGTGTTCAAGACTCTTATTCGACCAGATATTGTGAACTTTGTTCACACCAACTTGTGCAAAAACAATAGACAGCCCTATGCTGTCAGTGAACTGGCAGGCCAGTGCCGAGTCTGGGCTGGCAGGGCTATGGCTTGAATTCCCAGAGTCTGAGGTGGTGGAACTCATCATTTTGGCCAGGATGCTTTTGGAAATATGTGTCATGAGGGCCGCATATTTGCACAACCAAAACCTGGCGCCATTGGCACCTCAGAGTAAACACAACACAGAAACAATATGCCATCTACTCTGCCCTCACTGCCTCAGCCTTACCAGCACTGGTTATGTCTAAAGGTCATCGTATTGAGGAAGTTCCTGAACTTCCTTTGGTGGTTAAAGATAAAGTTGAAGGCTACAAGAAAACCAAGGAAGCTGTTTTGCTTCTTAAGAAACTTAAGGCCTGGAATGATATAAAAAAGGTCTATGCTTCTCAGCAAATGAGGGCTGGCAATGGCAAAATGAGAAACCAACACCATATCCAGCGCAGAGGACCTTGTATCATTTATAATGAGGACAACAGTATCATCAAAGCCTTCAGAAACATCCCTGAAATTACTCTGCTCAATGTAAGCAAACTGAATATTTTGAAACTTGCACCTGGAGGGCATGTGGGCTGTTTCTGCATTTGAACTGAAAGTGCTTTCCCGAAATTTAGATGAGCTGTATGGCACTTGGCATAGAGCTGCCTCCCTCAAGAATAAATACAATTTTCCCAACCACAAGATGCTCAATACAGACCTTAGCAGAATCTCGAAAAGCCCAGAGATACAAAGAGCCCTGTGAGCACCATGCAAGAAGATTCATCGCAGAGTCCTGAAGAAGAATCCACTGAAAAACCTGAGAATCATGTTGAAGCTATATCCATATGCAAAGACCATGCGCCGGAACAGGTCAAGAACCACAAGGTTCTTCACCAGGTCAAGAACCACAAGCTTTGGATGGATAAAGCAGAAGCAGCACTAGAAGACAAATCAGATGAGAAGGGAGTGTGGTAGGGGAGAAAGGAAAGAAGGCTGTTGGCCTTAAGAAGCAGAAGAAGCCTTTGGTGGGGAAAAAGGCTGCAGCTACCAAGAAATCAGTAGCTGAGAAACCCACAGAAAAGAAACCCACCACAGAAGAAAAGAAGCCCGTGGCATAAACTTAAATTTGTTTATTCCATAATGGTCAAGTCCTTTCGGACAGCTTATTTTGAATAAAAATATGATCAAAGGCAATGAGGGGGGAAAAAAAGAAAAGACAAAGAGAATCTTTAAAAGCAGCAAGAGAAAAACAGTTACCTGCAAGGGAGCACCCATACAACTGTCAGCTAATTTCTCAACAGAAACTTTGCAGGCCAGGAGGGAGTGGCAATAAATAGTCAAAGTGATAAATAGCAAGGACATACAAACAAGATTATCCAGCAAAGTTCTCATTTAGAATTGAAGGTCAGATAAAGAGCCTCACAGATAAAAAAATCTGGAGTTCATCACCACCAAACTAATATTACAGAAAATGTTGAAGGGTATTCTTTAAGAAGAGGAAGAAGAAAACAAAGAAAGATTTAGAAAATGAATAATAAACAGCTACAGGATCCACACCAGGAGGATATCCAGCAGCACCTTGGTCTTCAGAAGGACAATGCCTGCTGAGCTTGTAGGACTGCCTGGAGCCCCTAGAGGTCAAGAGGAAAGGCTGCCCTCGCTGTGGGTCCATCCCTCAGCCCCCACCTGAATGAGACCAGAGACTGGACTTTTCACTGGGTCCCTTCCCTTCCCTGCTCCTTTGCTCCCATGTTTGTGAGCTGCTTATTAAATATTTGGTTCTCTCAAGTTTTATAATAAACTTGATGTTCCAGAAAGAAAAAAAATAGAAAATGAAATAATAAAAATAAAAAAAATAAAATGGCAATAAATATATATCTATTAACAATTGAATCTAAAAATCAAAACAAATGAACAAGGAATTAATGAACAAAATAAACTGATGAATAAAACAGAACCAGAGGCATGGAGACATGTAACAGAATGATGAATCTCAGGGGAAACCAGGTGGAGGGGAAGAGATTAACCATAGATCTTATATGCATAACCTATGGACACAGACAACAGGGTGGTGAAGGCCTGGGGCAGGGTGGGAACCAGGTGGAGGGAGGCAATGCGGGGGGGGGGGGGGGGGGGGGGGAGGAATGGGGGACATCTGTAATACTCTCAACAATAATGATTTTATAAATAAATAAACAAATACAAAAAGTCCCTTCTTGGCATCATTTCTTGACATTTCTCTGCCATAGGTCCTTACCCTAATATTTTTTTTCTCATATTTTGTTTTATTCTTCCCCTTCCTAAAGAATACCCTTCAACTTGCTGTTCCCAAACTATGTACTTCTTCACATTTGGTTCTCTCTGCCTAGGTAAATTTATTCCTCCACTTTCATATGGAGAACTCCCACTTCCCAGGACTTAGCCCATGCAAGTCAGTACGATGGCCACAAGTGTGTCATGATACATAGCCTTCTGTAGTTTACTTTTTTCACAAGATATTGATAAATGAAACTCTTTGTAAATTTATTTTAACTGCTATATAATATTTCATTGCTTTGTTTATGTATTTTCCTGTTTCCAACCAAGAGAAAAAAACAGATATTGAATTTTTGCTACCATAAATAATGTTTTAACTGGGGAGGGAGGGGGAGGTGTTCCATTCCATATGTTCTTTTTTTACACTCTTCCCATCAACATTTGTTCTATATTCTCCCCTTAAAACCAGTTGCAGCTAACAACTATAATCAACTTTTAAGATGATCCTGGTCCCAGCCATCTTACAACTGAAACTGTACAACCCAAAGTGAGAATTGCCTGGCTGAGCCCAGTCAAATCTCAGAATCATAAGAGATAATAAAATAAAATGACATGAGATGTTTTAAGCTACAAAGTTTTGAGGTGATTTGTGATAGAGCAATAGCAAATGGAATGTCCCTTCTCAGATAGAGCTTTTCTTTTTGAAACCTCATCCTAGGAAGAATGAGTAATCATTCTTTGGGACACAAGCTACCTTGTTTTTACTGCTAGTCCAGTAAAGCACTTCTCATAATTGTTATGGACAGAATTGTCACTCTTCCCCAACCCTCTGTCCCGGGCCCCCAATTCATATGTTGAAACCCTAACCACAAATGTAACTGTATTTGCAGATAGACACTATTTAAAGAAGCAATAAAGGGCAAATGAGGCCATAATCCAACAGGACTAGTGTCCATATACTACTAGTAAGAGGAGGAGGAGACAACAGGAAAGCTCATGCACAGAGGAAAGGCCATGTAAGTACACACAGCAAGAAGGTGGCCATCTGTGTGTTAGGTAGAACAACCTTGTAAGCACCTTGACCTTGGCCTATCAGCCTCTAGACCTGTGAGAAAATACGTTTCTGTTTTTAAAGCACCCAGTTTGTGGTCTTCTTTTACAGGAGCCCAAGCTAACATTATGAATATATATTTCCACAAATGAGATAAGGACCTTGCTTCATCAATCTCTGTATCCTCAGAACCCTAGTGTGGACCTGATACACATGTAGTTGATGAATCAATGTGCATAAAGCCAGAGAGGCCAATGAAGCTGGTAAGGAAGTGGGTAAAAGGGCCCAACTTTGAAAAACAGAGATAAAAATCAAATATCTAAATAAACAATGAATATGTGATATAAAAAAATACTAGCTAACGTTCGAGTGTTCTTTAAAGTAGACAACATGCTAGATTACATAGATTATTTATTTGTCAGGATAACTTTACTCTCTGCCTTAGCCTTCCTGGCCCCAACAATCACAGAAACTAATAGTATAAGACTGTTTTTCTATGGTGCTTTTGAGGTGATATCAAGAGAACTGAAGTTGAACTAAGACAGGAACTTAAGTTACTGAAAGGAAATAATTACATTCCCAGAGAGGAATACAAAGAAAGGAGGCACGGTGACTTGGGAGAATCCTAAATATGCAATATCACTAGATTAGTAAGAAATGAGTTTCAGAGAAGGGCATGAGGCTGCATTGAGAGTCCATAATAAAGACTAAAAATGGCAGCTGAATTTGAAAATTACCAAGTCACCAGTGAGCTTTGAGAGGAGTTTCTGTGGAGTGCTGGTTTCCAAACTACAGCCTTAAGGAAGGGGAAGCAAGGCATCTATACTAATAAAAGAGTAATATGCTCATTAGACTGAACATCTTCCAGTCTTCTAAACAAAGCCATGTTGACAGGGCCAAGGCAGAGGTTAGAGCTGATCAGGCAGGCAGGGGAGAGCAGTTAGGGGCCACAGATCCTGAGGGAGTGCAGGCTGAGCTGAGGAGACCCTTTTCCCATGCACAAATTTCGTACACTGGGCCTCTAGTAAAGAAATAAAGTCAGTAGCTAAAAGTATTATTGCACTCCTTCCTTCAAGAAGTTCAGAAGCAAGAGGAAGAGTGCTGTTTGGACTGCAAAAGAGCAGTCGCTAGAGGAGCAGGAAGAGCTGAAAGTGGAATGAAGGAGGCACAGAAAGAAAGAAAAGGTGTCTGGTTGAGCGGGATTTCCCAGAGGCTATGTAGACGAAACTACGCGCTCAAGGGAGGGGTGAAGGTCAGCCAAGAGAAAAAAAGCAGTTTGGTGAGTCCCTGCAGCAATGGCCAAGAGGCTGACTGGATAGTCCGACTTAAGTCGTGAAGAAGGCAGAGACCACCGCCCAGGGGCCTCGCCCTGTCCTCGCAGAACCCGTTTCGCGCGGGCTCCAACTTCCCAGCTTGACCTCCGCCAAGGTGGCCCTCGGAGGCAAACGGCCACACCTCCAGGAGAGGCTGAGACGCACGCCCCGGAGGCACTCACCCCACGGCCACGCGGCGCCAGCGCTGGGCCGGCCGCACGATGAGTGCGTCCCAAGCGGCGGCCAACCGGCCCTCTGGGGAGACGGGTCCGGGGTACGTGGGCCCAGGCTGCAGCGCGCTCCAAAGGGAGTGAAGCGCCGAGTGGGGCAGCTGCGGCTCCAACAGGAAGACACAGCCCACTGCCAACGCCAGGAAACCCACGTACGCAGAGCCGCGCCACAGCGCCATGGGGACCCTGCAGTCCCCGAGTAGCCGCCTTGTGCCTTTCCAGGCCGCGCCTCTTCCGGGCTCGGCGCGCCCAGGTTCACGCGAGCAACACGTCACGCCGCGCGCCACTGCCCCCGGGGGGGGGGGGCAGGGTACGGGGGCCGCAGGGGGCGTGGAGCCCTTATCCTCCCATCAGATCCTGGCGTTTACAGGCACCGTTTCAGGTTCTGAAGTACATTGGACAAAGGCGGTCGTGCTGGTCGGGGCCCTGCATCCCTTCCCAGAACTCTAACCATTTCCAAAAGTAGAGAGGTGAGGATACCTTTGCTTTCCCAGTAAAACGCAAAGGAGGGATTGTAAGAAGTGGGTAAACTTCCATTTGAGTCATTCAGTGTCCCCATTTGAATTGTGCCTGTAGTTCGGAGGGGCACGAACCACACCCCGCTTTTAATCCGTTCCCTAGCGGTTGAAGGTCTTAGCCTCCCTCCCCTATACCTTGGTTTCTCCTCTTCTCTCGTGATATGGCTTAAACCCAGCAGACCCTGGATCTTAGCTCTGAAGTCTGGACCACCTGCATGGAGTAATGATCCTCTACACTAGTGTGGCCAATGAATCAGTGGAGACCACAACCCTGAAAGGACACACTTGGAAAGTTGCTAAATATTCCATTAAGATCTTCCCCAGGACCTCCTCTAAAATCTCCATCCTTAAAACCCTTAGGATGGAAGACCCAGTGCACTCTTTCTCCTGGGAGCACACTCAGTGCCTTTCCCTTTTCCCCTCCTCCTCTCTACCTCTCCCTGCCCCAGACTGTTACCTTTCCAGTCCTCACTCCAGAGCTCCAAGGGTCCTTCCTTTACCTCTATAACCTGTTTCCTAAGTCCATTTCTTCTAGAAATTACTTCTCCTACCACTATGATTTACCAAATGTTCTCTTACAGTTTGGATCTGTGAAGGAAAAGAGCCACATGCTAACCTGTCAAGCTCAAGAGAGGCTTGAGTGGCAGTCTTGCAAACTCAGAGATCTGAAATAACCACAAAAGATGGTTTGAAAATTAAATATCTAACTACAAACAGGTGATAGTGGGTAGTCATGTCCTAGACCGATATTTCACCTGACAAAGAACAACTTAGCTCTTCTTTACTTAGCCCATTTACCTTCCAGCCTCTAAGATAACATATCTATGAGATGTCTGGGTAACTTGTAACTTACCTTTTTCTGGAGCCCTTGGCACCAGGACAGATGCCTCAAATTCCTTCGTTATCCTGTTAATTGCTCCTAAGTGCATCCATCATTTTACTTTTCATCCAATCCCAGGGGTTTCCCACCGCTTTGCTTTCTTCCGCCTCCTTACTCCATCACCAATGAATTTCATGTAACCTACCTATGTCCCTCCTTTGGTTGCAATGTATAAATAAAAATGTAAGCTGCCATTCTTCGGAGCATTATCTCAATCCGTTGAGGTTCTGCTTCCCAGTATATGTCGACAGTTTGGCTCAAATAAACTCACAAAAATTCTTTAAAAGTTTCAATGGTTTTTCATTAACAGGTCTTAGCTCTGAATTCTTTCCTAGCCAGAACCCAAGTACAGAGGTTGCTGAACCCAGATTTTGTCTGACCCCAATGGTCCCACACCTGGTGTGGTTATTCCTGCCGCCTACAACACATCCTCCATAGTTTACTAAATTCCTTGTCTTTCACACACAGGTCTTAGCGCTCCCCGCAGGAATCGGCTCTAATTACTGCAGCACTACAGCGAGCTCCTGGGGCCCTTGTGGCAGGTGTATTCTCCCCCTTTGGAGGGAGGCTAAGACCTTCAGCCACTAGGGACATATGCCAACACTAAGGAGAGCTTGCAGCAATCATCCTGGCTGAATGACCAGATTAAACCGAAAATAATCCTTTTGGGGTCTCTGTTCCCTGGAACAATCTCAGAAAAATGTACAAATCCATACATATTGTGTACAACACAGGGAGGTTATGAACCTCAGTTAAGAAATCCTGGTTTCTCCTCTTTTCCCTTGTGATATGGCTTAAACCCTACAGACCTTGTTGTCTTTGTTGAAACCCTTGTGTGTGAGCCTAGGTTGGGACACAATGAAGTTAGGCTTAGTGCCAGCTCAGTTATAGTAGCCACTATTCCAGGTCTTGTCTTGTACCCTGGCCTGTTTCTGTTTCTCCAGTCCTGCTGTCTCCTGACTTGGCTCTGTGTGGGATTTTTTCACTCTGTCTGACCTTTGGACTTGGTAGTGAAACTTTATTTCCCTAACTTTGATCTTGAGCATTAGGCTTCATACCCTTCCCATCCCCCAGCACCGCTGTATCAGCACTTACCCATCCCACTCTATCATCCCACCCTCTCGTCTTACCATCCTGACCACAGCCCTCCTGACTGACCATAGCATTTTTTTAATATATGTCTTTATTGTTCAAATTACTACAGTTGTTCCTCTTCCCCCGATGCTCCCATTACTCCCCTCCAACTGATTCCCACCACACCCCATGCCCTCATCCCCTCACACTGTCCTCATCCATAGGTGTAAGATCTTTGTCAAATCTTTTCCCACACCTCCCACACCCCTTTCCCACTGAGAATTGTCAGTCCACTCCCTTTCTATGTCCCTGATTCTATTATATTCACCAGTTTATTCTGTTCTTCAGATTTTTTATTCACTTGATTTTTAAATTCACTTATTGATAGATATGTATTTATTGTCACTTTGTTGTTCATAATTTTTATTATCTTTTTCTTTCTCTTCTTAGAGAATACCCTTCAGCATTTCATGTATTACTGGTTTGTTTATTTTAGGGGATAGAACAGACCATTCATATGCAAAAGATGATTCACACAGCTTGGGTTGGGTTATAAGTTGGGTGGGGTCTCTGAGAATCACCAGGACAGAGCAAACAGCAATGGCTGCCCTGAACGAGAGAAGTCCCTGGTTCTCCCTGTCCCACACCCTTGTGCAGGAACAATGATCACTGTGAACACCTCTAAGAGTAAGCTGCCCTCAAGTTCCTGTTAATGCCAGACAATCCAGTTTCTCCCCATGTGTCTGGGTCCCCCAGAGTCTCTCCATCTCTCCTGGAACTAGAGTTTAGAGCAGGTGGGAGCTTGTATCTATATCCTGGTTTAAAAACTGCATCCCAGGAGATAGAGATTGAGGAAGCAACCTAAATGGTGTCCCACCAAGTAAAGGGGAGGTTGCCTTTTATAGCAAAACCAACTAGCTACTGTGGACCCTGACAAGATCAACTTAATGTGAACCTTGAAAACAAATTTATCTGCTGATATGGACTCCCTATACTCAACCGAGAACCTAAATTTTATAAATAGTAAAAGCCCAGCAGCCAATTGCTGACAAGGGCTTCTCAGGTTCTCTGTACAAAATAATTCAAACCACAGTAGCACATCCAGGTGCCAGCACTTTCTGAATCTCCACAATGAGCTTTCTTACCTCTCCAGTTGTGGAATTTCCACTCAGACAGCTTCCCCGTGGTTTTGAGTGGTAGTTGTTCTGCCATTTAGTTGTGTTTATGTGGTTGTGAAAGGCATCAAGCCAACTTGGTTTCTCCCCATAGCAGTCTTTTTAAAGGAGATAATCACATAGGAAGAGATTTAGACTATTGTGGAGAAAAAAGAAGTCAAGGGGCCAATGAAAAATCTGTGGTGCCATAAAGATGTCTTCCCTAGAGTTGCTTGTTCCTTCTCTGTCTTTGAGAAACTGCTTCCTCTCTTGGCCCAAACTGGGCAGGTTTCCCTACCCCACCCAAGAAGTGACTGAACTAGAACCTGACTCAAAAGCAGTGAATACACTGGCCAGAGAATATAAACCAAGAGTGAAGAGTCTGTAATATAAACCAAAATTAATTTATAATTTTGTAACAAAGAATAAAAAATGTTTATTTGAGCCCAGCTGGTGTGGCTCAGTGGTTGAGTGTCGACACATGCAACAGGAGGTGGCCAGTTCAATGGTTCAATTCCCAGTCAGATCACATGCCCAGGTCGGGGGCCATGCAGGAGGCAGCAGATCAATGTTTCTATCTCTATAAAAATCAAAAACATTTTAAATAAAGGATTTATTTGAGCTAATGTAACTGCATCCCAGGAGATATAGATTCAGGTAGCAACCTAAACTGTGTCCCACCAGGCAAAAGGGAGGTTGCCTTTGATAGCAAAAATTTCTACCATGTTCCCATATGGGTCTCTTTCATGTATATGAGGTATCCAAACTTGTATACTTCATATTGGTCTAAACTCAGTCCTGATTAGTTGGATTTACACATCCTTATTAGTTGTTATGGAGCAGTTCTAATTGGATGGGGTAGATCTTTGTCCATTGGTGGAAAGACCAAACTAGGAACTGACTCTTTTATAATAGTTGACTCAGATAGCTAAATGAGCAGGGTATAGTGCAGGAAGCCAAGAGTTAAGTCTGAGGCTCTGGCCAGTTGCTTAGAGCCTCCTCCAGATATGCTAAGATTGTGGGCTCCATATCTGGTCAGGGCACATACAAGATTCAACCATTGAATGCATAAATAAATGAAACAACAAATTTATGTTTCTCTCTCAAAATCAATCGATCAATCTATTTTTAAAAAGAGTTCAGTTTGAGTTATTTTATACATAATACATGAGAAGCCCTTGTCAGCAATTGGCTGCTGGGCTCTTACTATTTATAAAATTTAGGTTCTTAATTGAGTATGGGGAGTCCATATCAGCAGATAAATTTGTTTTCAAGGTTCACATTAAGTTGATCTTGTCAGGGTCCACAGTAGCTAGTTGATTTTAATCATGGGCCTGCAATTTTACATAGGTTTGAAAGGCAGTTAAATATATTTTCAAGGTGAAGCTTTGGAGAGAGCAGAGGAAGCTGAACTGTGGGAAGGCCATGTAGCAGATAGGCCTAAAGAATCAGGGTAGTGCTCAAAACCAAACTGATGTGTAGAAAAAAGACCTGGGGCATACCATTCTGGCTCCCAGGAGAGCTGCTGAACTGACAGTGTTTTGCATTTATTT